GGCTAGGGTCTTACCTCCGTGAGAGAGCCATAACGGTCTCACCCATAAGTTACTGTTGACTGACTGGGCCGAAGAATGTTTACCACCGGGTGTCAGTCATACAAAGTCTCGTCAGCAGAAAGTTCGAATTCCAGTTGAATGCAAATTTAACACATTTTTATGTTTATACCTCTTCTAACGGTCCTCTTTCCTTGCCATCTTCCTAGGGAACCTCCAAACCGGCTCACTATCATGTCCTCTATGATGACAGTAACTGGAACTCTGATACCCTGCAAAGTTTTACCTATTACCTCTGCCACGCCTACCTGCGTTGCTGTCGCAGTGTTTCGTATCCGGCACCTACATTTTACTCCCACCTGGCCGCTTTCCGTGCTCGTGACTGGTTGAAAGAATGTCAGCGACCTGGAGAACTCTTTGTGGGCGAAAATAAATTTAAAGTCAACAGCACCCAGGAAAACTGCATGTTCTTCTTGTAATCTTCCTCCGCCGCTGCCGCCGTCACGACTGTATCGCTTATAGCTCGAATACCATGAACCTCCGAAAAGCGCTTCATCTGACTTTTTTCTGTGCACTAATCATTGTTCTCTTCCTTCTCTCCTTTTGTTAACTTTAATTTAATAACCCGTGACCATCTTGTAGACGTACTTTCGACCCCATTTCGTCTTGTCCGTCGTATTATTTTCACTCTTATACTTTTTTTTATCATGTATATATGTTGAAAAGAAAGAACATCTTCGGAAAATCGAGGTATACTCGTGCAACTCGATTTTCCGAAGATTTTCTTTCTTTTCATCATATCATCTCTTCACTTTATATCCATATATACATATTTAAAATAAATACTTTCCTTGGGCACACAAAGTGTGACATTCATCACGCCATTGTCGTATTCAGAAGACCAACTACCGTCACAGACCATACCCATGTGCATTCATTTATTCGCCTGCGCCTGTGGAGCGGGATATATTGTCCGAACAACGAGACGTCCAGAAAAGAGAGTACGAGAACTCATACGAACCTGGTTAGGCAAAGGAGAAAATCGATCGATTTCAAGTTCAATCCTCACACACTTTATCGACACGATCCACCAAGTCAACGGGGGAGAGGCCTTTCAGGTCATATACCAGGCACAAAC